ACTTTTCAACAAAATTAACATTTGTAAAAACAGATTCTTTTTTTTCTCTCAGTATGTTCGGCATCATACCCAACTGCATACAGTTTTATAAAGGAAATATTTTCTCAAGTTTCTTACCTGGAGATCCTGCCAGTAACAGCGCTTCCTCTTGCAGGATGATAATGTTAAGCCGTAGGTAGCAGCAGTGTTGTGAGCATGCCATGTCAGCTCCTTATTTGATTGTTGGGGTATCTATCTGATAGAGCTGATAAGACACTTCAACGACCACCTAAAGAAGCACACACGGGACTCTGACAACGCTGCTGCTAATTCCAAGACAGTGGCTTAGCAATGTCAGCCAGCAACAGGGAGCGAAGTTACTGGCAGATTCTCCAGGTAAGAAAGTCTGCAACAGTTTTACAATGAAGCATGATGCCAGACATATTGAAAACCAGATAACATACACTTTCATTAGGTAACAAATTATGCTCTACATACATAGTTATATATCAACGTATACATCTTTATACACGCACATACAAAACACGGCTGTCTGTCAAAGTAGTGATCGCTAACTGAAAAGGAGGTGAGGTCATTATGGGTTGGACTACATCACTCCACAGGGGTAGAATGCCCCTTTAAATCTTTAAATAACACTGCGCTTAGCAGAAAACCTACCTGACAAGGACATGAGGGTATTATGAATGACATACAGCCAAGTGCACTTTCGGGGAAACAGCTGCAACGCAAAGAAAATTACATCAGAGACTGAGGGGACAAGACGCACTTGTTCCAGATGACTGACAATATGACAGCTGGCCTGATTGCAGGTCATTGCCATTACCTGCTCCATTGTGGCTTCATGAAGCTCGTTCAGATTTAAGGTGTAGATTCCATCCTCCGTGCCAAAGATGATATATTGATCTGATAAAGAAAAGAAGTTACAAGTAGGCTAAATAGATTGTCACTTTTACATATACTGCTACATTACATTTCTCTCTCCTTCCGCCAATACAGAGAAGAAATGGAGTATTGTCAGCAAGGGAAGGAGTAGAAAGGCTGGACAGAGGGCTAAGGTTTGTAACAGGAAAAGGGTGACTTTGTTAGAAGAGATAGGGAGGTTAGAAGGAAGACACGTATACAGGAAAAATTTGCTAACATGGAAACCGTAGGTCAGTTTCTCCGAATGCAGTAAGGATATCAGTTTGTAAACATAACACAAAAATTAGCAAAGATGAACATTTGAGGCATAACATTTTAAATGGAAATGCCTTTAATCACACTATAAGGTATAGTTGCAGAATGCTCTGGAACGGACTTCACCGACTATAGGTAGTAAAGCAACGTTAAGGTTAAGTCCCTAAACTTACACTTTAAAAATGAATGAATGATGGACATCTATAATGATGTTTTTTTTATTCTGCTACCATACCTTTCGTATCTGGGTGTATCCATGATGTGGCACAGTTTATCTTCAAAGGGCACCCATCGAAAACCTTTGAAAAACAGGCTCCCATCTAGAAAAACAAGACACTGGTAATGATTACAGGAATAATAAAACAGGTCAGTTCAAGGCTCCGATACAGTCAACAATAAGAGAGTAACAAAAATTCTCCTTGTGGAATAATAGGCTTAAACACAGTAAACATTAGGATTTAGGGTGACTTTACATTAGTTTTTTAGCTGCAGTTTTTAAAGTGCACCTGTGCCTAGACTGTGAACCATAAAGCATTTACATATTCTTAAAGCTAAACTGCCGGGGGGGTTGATTTACGATATCAGTGGCCCTTCCTCCCTGGGCGCTCTCTTTCATAGCCCAATGCTCTAGAATGTGTGTGGACCTTCTGCATCCTCCCCTACAATGCACAACTGCTGGTCCGGCATTGCATGGGATGACATCAGAGAGTTGTGATCCAAGGCTTTAAGGGTTAGGTCATACAAAGTGAAGGTAAGTATATTAGGTAAGTATAAGGTAAGTATATTAACATATTCATCACCCCGTAGGCAAAACAAGTATTTAACTATGGGAACCAACTACAAAAGGTAAATTATTTTTCCCAGTTTAGCATTAACAGACCGTAAAGAAGCTTTAAAAAAAAAAAAGAAGAAGACATTCCTGACCTCTCTAGCTGCTTATACTGTAAACTAATTCATGCTCAAAGGTCACAACAGAGACTCTAAATTCGGTTTCAATAAGTTTCTAACAGCTTAGAAAGACCTGCTGCGTGTTTACATTAGAAGGCTGGCAGGGTGGCACAATTCTGGCGCAATAGAAAGTAATAGGAAAAAACGAAGGCTGGCCATATACAGCTCAATTTTTCTCGTTCAATGAAAAAAATAGAGTGGATTCCTCCATCAACATTACCAGTGTGTCGATCGAGGTATTCCCGCTGTTTGCATTGTATTCTGACAGCGGCCGGCGGCTGAAGAGACTCGGCAGATCATTGGCTGCAGGCTCTGGTCAGTTTTACGACCAGCTCCTTCAATCAGCTTATCAAGGGATGCCGGCTGAAAGGGTGCCGTCAGCGGCACACACTGTGCAAATTTTAGAGCAATTCTTGAGGAACCGGCCGAAGTTGGCACAGTGTATGGGCAGCTTAAGATTATCTTGCCTCTATTGTAAGCTTTGAGGATACATTTCTCTATAGCTACAAAGTTGAATGGGGACTTGCTTTGTGCCTAATGCTAGCTCAGAATATGTAAATACTGCAGTGTGCACTTTAAGACCAGTTGAAGCTACAGAAATAGATATGGAATCAATTTTAGATGAACGCTTCCATTTTGAGAGTTTGCCTTGTTATTGTGCTGAGTGTCTGAATGTGACTCTAACGTCCAATAGGCAACAGAGATAGACCCGGTTCTCTCAGTAATTCCCAAACACCTGGTCAGAGACACCCCCTCTCCTCCTCGGCACTACGAGTCTGTGTGAGGACACCTATGATCAGGGGTGTGGCTGTGCCTCAGCTATGACAGCATTGGACTGTTAAATAGAAATGCATTTTTAAAAAACTGTTTATTGAGTTTAAAAAATTGCACACAATTATAAATGGTATGAGTAGTTACAACGAATATGCAAAATCATCCGAACATAGATATATAGTATAAAAAAAGAGGCACATGTTCTATATGATATTATACAGACAGGCAAATGTACACTGATGGTAATAGTTATGACTGTTGGATCAGGGTAGGTCAGTCTGAACTTAGGTGAGAGTAGAATTATGCCATAGGGCCCACATTTTGTAGAATTTAAGAGGACATTACCTGATTCTATACATAACCTTTTCATTAGGATGATCTGATTGTTTAATGTTTTCCATTGGGCCAGATTGGGGAAGGGAGAACCTGGGCAGGTTCACGAGTCATGAACAGTGTTTCTAGCAATGAGTAGCGATATCTTAAGCATGTCTTTGAAGAAATGTTAAATACTCACAAGTACTTTTGGGGTGGGTGGTAATCCATTTATTGCTGGTTTCTAGAAGACAAGACAACATAGATTATTTGCAATGTACATGACACAACGCCAACGTTTGCCTACATCTCAGCCAGGTAATCGAGACATACAGTACACAACGTTCTTGATTTTGCAGTGCAGTTTGCAGTGAACACCAATTGTAATTTTTGTACAAACAAGGATATTTTCACTGTCATTTCCATAACATGTTTATTGCAAACTTTCACGCAAAAATAATGTTCTGACAACGCAAATTTTAAAGTGGAACTGTGCTAAGCACCATGTGCACCTACACTGGCCATGCAACAGAACTTCAATGCAATTTTAGAAGAACATAAGGAGGGAAATTTATCAAAACGGCAACAGACAAAATCTGGAGCAGCTGTGCATGGCAACCAATCGGCTTCTATATTAAGTTTGTTCAGTTAAGATTTGAAAATGAAAGAGAGAAGCTGATTGGTTGCCATGCACAGCTGCTCCAGATTTTGTCTGCTCCAGTTTTGATAAATTCCCTTCCAACTGTTATGTAAAATAAAAAAACAAAAACCACTTGAGAACATACCAGTCAGTCATACTTGGAAGAGTCTGAAAACTGGGATCAGTGTATGGTCACATTGAGTCCCCAGCATGTCACGAAAGCTTTGTCCTAATGATGCACCAGCAGCTTCCTCTACCACGCGTTAAAGGAGAACTATGGGGTTAAGGCTTTTCTCCATAGTTCCCCTTAGGGTAACGGGAGGACACAAACTAGCGTCCTCCCGTCACCCTAGGCTCAGTATACCGCGAGCTACAGCTCGCGGTATACGGAGATGCCGCAGCTGAAGCGGATCCCGATGATTGTGCCGGGATCCGCCCAGCTTCGTGACTGACTTTATGACCTGTGTGCTTGTTGATGGCATGGGCTGAGAGGTGAATAGTAATCATCTTCCTTTCAGGGGCCACTTTAATTTGCGTACTTATTTTAGCCAAAGCACTTTAAAGGAGAACTATGGGGTTGGGGCTTTTCCCCATACTTCTCCGAAGGGTAACGGGAGGACACAAACTAGCGTCCTCCCGTTACCCAAAGCTCAGTATACCGCGAGATACTGAGACGCCGCAGCTGAAACGGATCGCGAGAATTATGTCTGGATCCTCCCAGCTGCGTGAGTGACAGCTGGCTCTGCCTATCTAGAGGCAGAGCCAGCTGTACCCGCCCCCTCCCCCGTCCGTTCCGCCAGTCAGCGCTGGCGGATCGGAGCGGGGGGAATCCAGCCCCTCCCATGTCACGGCAGAGAGCCGTGACAGGATCGAGAGGTGAGCGAACGCCGGTATGTGTTTGCTCACTTCCCGATCTACTAAGCCCACCGGTGACAGTCTCATTGTCACAGGTCGGCTAGAACTATGAGGTGAGGTGAGCACTCACCTCATAGTTCTCCTTTAAGAACACATTTTTGTCTGTGCACAGTGAGGGCAAACAGAAAAAACAATGACTTCTGCAGCCTGTAAGGTTCTTTTAAAAACAAAACTCATGGTCACATGACTGGGAACCACACTGATTGGCTCTAAGTAGCCATCAGTAGCTGGAAGTGAATGCGTGGTCTCAAAGCTAGTGGCATGCACAGTTGCCCGCTTCTAGCTATGAACGTAGAGTACCATTCTCATATTATGCTGAGGAATATTAATCTACAGGTTACAGTCACAAACAGGTTAAAGGATAAAGCATGCAACAATTAGAAAGAGCTCAAGTACTGACCGGGAAATCCTTCCTTTCTTTCTTCTGTGGCAGTTGTGGCTTGGAGCTTTCCCCAACTGGGCTACTTAGTTTCTCCCCATTGCCTGCACAGTAAAATAAAGTAAATTAAAACAAGAAGCATCGGTGGTAAATGGTATTCCACGTAAGGAATAAGTGAGAAGCCAGTTTGTCAGTGTAAGCAAGATAACAATGGTGGAGAAGAAAGCAAGTGCAAGTAGGCAGCGGAATGGGAGTGATGAAAGCTGCCAAACCAACAAGTATAAAGACATAAAAGCACCAGTCTACACCTGGGTAGTGCTCATCTTCCCTACACCAACCTATTGGAGAATACCATTTTCTCCTGTTATAGAAAGGGCGACTGTACCAAGCTTATTGTGTCCTAGGAAAGCAACTACCACCAAGAACACAGTTCAAAATGGAAGGTGCTATGATGCAGTAAAGCCACAAAGCAGTAAGCAGGGAGATGTATGGAGGCAATCCCATTCTATAAGATGGCTGGAGGTAAGGATATGGAATGTTACATGTGTGAAGATGAATGCCGTGGCCATCCCATACAATGAATAGTTTGTGAGAGGTGATGGGGCCAGGCAAAGCCTGAAAATGAACAGTGCGACATGAGAGAGAATGGCAATGCGCTTTCAAGAACTCAAACTCTGCAGATCACCGTCAACTTATAAATGGCACGAGATAGAATGCGGGCAAGGGCTAAAGCTTCTCTCGGCTTTTACCACTGGTTGTGTCCCTGTTGGAGAAATCTATTCTCACCTAATGTCTCATTGACACATCATAAATTGAGGAGAAAACTTCAGGTAGGCCACAGACAATACTAAATACTTAAGAGATGTGATAATCCTTCCCCGTGTTATTTTATTACTGTTCTTCCCCTCAATTCGTGTCCTAGAGATCACCTGTAATCAGGGGACGAGATGAGAATAAAGCTGGCCATACACCTATAGCTATCTGCAGATTTTCTATGGTCAGATGGAAAAAGTGCAACAGATTCCTCCATCTACGCTAAACTTTGTGTATGAAGGAATCTCCCGCTGGGCCAAGCTTCAGTATCTTGCTAGCCGGCCCCGCTGGCTCTCGGAATACCTGAACAATCTGATTGGATGCAGGCATTGTTCAGGTATATTGAACAATTAGCTTTGGGTTACCCTTAGGAGAACTATGGGGAAAAGCCCTGACCCCATAGTTCTCCTTTAAGTTAAAAATAATACAAAGGCAGATGTTGTGAAAAAACTTATCCCTCCTGCAACATAAACTTATTTTCTGCCAGACAGCAATGTTTCTATTGAATGTACTACTTGTGAGCAGCTTAGTGAACATTCTCAGCATGCCTCGGTGCCAGGATGACTTAACTACTGGGCACATGCGTGGGAGTGAAGCCTTCCTAGGCCAGCCAATAAAGATGGTTGAAGATCCTCAACCTGGAAAACAACTAGCACCAGCGAGAGACTCGAGTCTTTGAAGGGGAGCAGAGTACAGCAAACTTAAGTTCTGCTTTATCTGAAGTGGTCTTAATCAATATAATTATCCACGCCAGTAGCTCTCCTAACAACTAGGCTTATTCAACATAAGAGCCTAGAACTCAAGTGTAACCTCATTCCCCCCTCACCAGACCCAATATCCCCTCCCCAGCTTCTTCCAGGTGCCAAGTCTTTATCTGTCTTCATTGGCCACATAGGTTTCCTGATAATGTTACACCGAGTTGCACATGTGAAGCTCAGTGCACATGCCAAAGAAGATTGCGAACAGGCAGGTACATTTGTTCTGCTATGTCCCTTCTGCAATAAAGTAGCTGCCTGCTTGCAATTTGTTTTGTTTTTTTGTTTAGTTTGACTTTTATACAGCCTTTGGCTCTTCCACAGAACTTAATCAGTGGACGACTGTAAATCACTGAACAGCCTCCATCAATAGACAAGTGGGAATTACATTTATTTCCTGGACTCTAACAACCAGCTCTGCCAAGAACTCTCCCCCCTGACCCAATCTGACAGCATTCAGGCATTGTACGAGAAAATGTCAAATACTCCACCAGACACAGCAGCACTGGATATTTCATGAGTCTGACAGTAAATTGGTCCTGCAGAGTAAGGTAAGTATAAACAGCAAGGGGTCAGGTTGTCAGGAAATCTATGACAGTGCCTTTAATGGGCAAAGTACAGGTTAGCTTTACATAGTTACATAGTATTTGAGGTTGAATAAAGACATTAGTCCATCAAGTCCAACCTATTAGGATCTCATTCTAGGAGTACCCGTACCCCTGTATATTACGGTCCCTTAAAAAATCGCCCAAAAGTTTCTTGAACAATTCCACGTTTTTTGCTGAAATCACCGCCTGTGGCAGTGAGTTCCAGACCTTAACCGCTCTAACTGTGAAGAACCCCTTTCGCCCCTTGTGCTGGAATTTTTTTTCCACCAATTTTAGGTTATGGCCTCTAGTTTTGGTAACGGAGTTAATTTTAAATAGTTTATCGCCAATGTTGCTGTCACCATTGAACATTTTGTACATGGAGATCATATCCCCCCTTAATCTCCTCACCTCTAATGTGAACATGTTTAAATTTAGTAGCTTTGTCTCGTAGCTCTGGTCCTCCGTACCCCTAATAAGTTTGGTTGCCCTCCGCTGGACTTTTTCCAGCTCAAGGACATCTTTTCTTAGTACTGGTGACCAGAACTGGACCGCGTACTCCAGATGAGGTCGAACCAATGATCTATAAAGTGGCAAAATTATAGACTCGTCCCTGCAATAGATACCCTTTTTGATGATTTAAGAGCTTATATATAAACCGTACACACAAAGCCAGCTCCCCCCATCCACCAGCACCTAATGACCTGCAGAGTTAGAATGCTGAAAAGAAAAAGCAAGTGTCATGGGGTCTTATGTCATGTTCAGGCAGCCGCGTGGCACAGTGATGACCCTTTTCTGGCAGGGCTGCAGTGGAGTCTCCGGTCTCCCTGCCACTGCTTTGTGTTAATTACCCATCTCAAAGAATTTACTGCTGGTCAGTCCGGGGCTGCTGATGCTGCTACAGAGCACATTATTGGGGGGTGCAGTATGGCGACCACAACCTGGAGAGCTCTGCCTCCGGGGGAACTGGGGAGCCCTGTTATCCGGTTGATATTTGATTGTGCTGGATCTCTCGTCCTCGTCCATATTATTCTCCGGGCAGCTGTTCATCCTCACCGGCTGTGAGAAGAAAAGCAAGTCATTAGTTCCATCACGACAATGCAAGCATATTTCAGGTTCGACAGATGCAGCAACAAATATATACATCCAACCTATATAAAATACTTCACTCTCTCCAGTAGACTCAAAAGTACACATACACATACTTGCAGGCTGAGACAATACATTAAGCGTTATAAAAGCTTTAAAGCTGAACTCTGGGTAAAAAATACACAATAATGCAGCTCTGTATCCATTGATATATCATTAAATGTTTTTAAATCCAAGCGGTCTAAGTTTCTGAATTTGACCTGGTATCAGCCTCTTGCAGTCCTACAGCAGACACAAGGCTGGGAGAGGGAGACGCAGAAGCAGCACAAGGAGCCAATGAGTTGTGCTGCAGAGGAACATGCTGTAAGGAGAAGAGAACGGAGTGACAAAGATGAGCCTGCTGCTTCTCCTTTCGATGTCCAGCCACACACAGGGGAAGAGACAAGACCTGTAAGTGTTACTTAAGTACAACAGAGACAAATCAGGTCTCATGCCCAGTCAGGTAGCGCTGTATACATTTCAGGATTGGATGAACAGAAATACTAATCCTTTGGCAGGTAAACAGCTACATTATATGTATTTGCCCAGAGTTCAGCTTTAGTTATTTGTTTTAACATTTGTGTGCAGACTTTTGATTATCATCATCATCATCATTAGGCTTTAAAATATGTGACGGCCGGAACAAAGTACAACATGCAAAAAAAAGCAGAAAACAATGTTTATACCTTAGGAGGTAGTGGTGGGGGAACAGCTTTTTTCATAGTAGAACTGGAAAAAAAAACGCAATAGCAAAAAGATGTCAATGCAAATCATGCAACGAACACACAGTCTGACTTACGTGAGCGAAAGGCTCTAGCACTGCTTTTAGGGTGTCCAATTACCTCTCATATTGGATACCAATGTGATTGTTGAAACAGCAAAGAATTTTTCAATATGTGATAATATTGATATAAATACAAAGTATTACATACATTCAAGCAACATAGAGCATAACACGTTTTAGGATTACAGTAATTCTCCAGGAAAGAGGTCAACAATCTCCAGCTACGTACAGAGGAGGGTTGGTAAAGCGACCCAATTACAAAAATAAAGAGAGTAGAAAGACCCCCAGATAATATTACCTACCCCGCTGCTAATCTTCACTGTATTCTCCAGGCACCGTAGCTCTTGAAGATAGGCAAGATCGGAGGCACGGGAGGTGGGATAGGCAAGTATATCATCTTTTTTTTTTTTTTTTTTGTACAGGGGAACCTTTTTTTCTACTTTATTTTTGCAACAGGGTCACTATAAAGTTAAACCCAAGAACTAAAATGCCATATATTGCAGCTTACAGTCCTTAGATGTGTGGCTGCATTAGCTTTCAAGATTTTTGCTCACCAGGTGGTCCTGTTAGTAACACTTCCTGTCCTAGAGTGGCAATGCTCCCTCACTGTATTGTATGTATTTATATATGTAGGAGCAATGTTGATACCCTATGACAGGAAGTCTGGAAGGACTACAGAACACTGCATTCACCGTGAATTGTAAAGGGGACTGGGTGTTCTATACTTCACAGAAAACAACTGGGAAGACGGACAACAGTGACATTTAGTTACAAGCAAAACAAACGACAAACGCACTCAACAATTTGTTACCAGTTATACAGTAAGGTGCACACGAAATGGGCTTTGAACAGTGGTACAGTAGAAAGGCATCATGGCACACTCACAAACCAGCATGTAAAACAACTTTAGTTACAAGGACACAGGATTTCTGGTAGGATCAAAAGGTATTTTTATGTACTTGCAGAAAATGTACATAGCCTGCAAAAGGAAACTGATGCAGCCACCACATCTAAGACATGGTAAGAAGCTGAAGCATATTAAATATTTATGTGTGGAAAAATGTCAACCTTTTCAACATTGTGCCAAATACAACAGAAGTTTGGACACATCCATTCTGTAGTAAGAGGAGTCAGACTGCAAAGTTAGATTTATATTTTAAAAAAAAGTCACACTAAAAACTCAGGAGTTAAATCTTAAAAATACATTTAAGTACCTTAACTATTAACAAAAATGTGTCTTATGTGTGTATCACTCGGCTGTAGATCCTCCAATCATCTCTGAATTGGTGCTGACACTGTCCTTCCTTCTGTAGGGGGGGCTACTTTTGTTCCCCATGGTCCCTGTGTGTGTTGTAAAGTAGTCACCGCTCCAATCTCACTCCCGGGATGGACTACAATCTCATTATTAGTTTACTCATTTGTATTGGGATTGTAGTCCATCACAGGAGTGAGCTTGGAGTGGTGACTACTTTACAACACACACAGGGACCATGGGGAACAAAAGTAGCCCCCCTCCAGAAGGAAGGACAGTGTCAGCACCAATTCAGAAATGATTGGAGGATCTACAGCCGAGTGATACACAAATAAGATACATTTTTGTTAATAGTTCAGGTACTTAAATGCATTTGTAAGATTTACCTCCGGAGTCTAGTGCCACTTTAATGTCTATAGAATGTTGAGGTTTGAGCTTCGGTCTGAAATCAGTCCTATTAGACACAGTGGTTGTTACTTTCTGTCAAAGGTTCTTATTCAGTTCTATAATTAGACTGCAGATTTCCGATAAGGGTTCGGGATTTACAGGCCTCAGCTGTGCTATGGAAGTTAATGAGCTGAGGGGTGCAAATTACTAATTTCTGGAAAGGGTTTTAATGGGTGACTTCTTTAAATTCAGTAATTTTCTTACTCGCTGTTGTTAGCGCCATTAGCAAAAGGATTCCAGCTATGCGAGAATTCGTTATCCTGACTTCCTCCCTATAAGAGGAGAGAGAAAGAAAAAATATTTTCAGTCTTAATAAAAAAAACATAAAGCATTAGGATATTTTTGTTCAGATGTAACCAGCAATAAAAATATTAAATTAACACACGTGTATGATGTGAAAGGTTAACACACAATGCTTGGGCCCAGAAAGAAGGAAAAAACACAGAGAGGTACGGCAGCATTGTCAAGACAAACCAAATCCCAGCAATCATACTTCTAGTGTAGATTAGAAAATGAATGGTGACAGCCACATACTGTGGGAAACACCAGCACTTTTTTATGGTTCTATTTGTTAAAGCACAACTCCAGTTAGGATTTTTTTTTTACTAATCCTTGCTGCAGAGGTTGTCCTGACTCCTCTCTATTTTTCCTGTGCATTACAGCATATGTTCTGCATGCAGTTAAAGGGTGCACATTGTCAGGGCATGGGGGATGAGACTGGAGTGATTATTTTAATGCCTGGAATTCTACTATAAAAATTTGCCAAATGTTCTTTTAACAAATGAAGCACATGAGAGAGGATTTAAGAAAAAAGGCAAAAAGAGTCAAATTCTCATAAGGCAGCTGTTCCAGCACTTCCACAAATTGCCAGCAGGAGGCAGCAGCACACTGTTGAGGTGAATTGCATTGCTGGCTGATGGACTTAAAATATAATACTGAAGTAGCAAAAAAATGAACAGTCGCACGATTGAAAACATATAGTTTATCCGATTAACCGATTAATCGAACTTAATAATCGGCTAACTAATCGATTTTGAAAATAATCGTTAGCTGCAGCTCTACACGCGACAGCCACACGAAAACAGCTCAGCATCTGAATCGCCTAGGTGTGAACCTAGCCTAATCCTCTAGGGCCAGTTCACACCACAATGCACTGCACTGTGCTAGACAGCCTTGTGCTCTAATGCAAATCAACGCATAAAAAAGTATTGCATGCTGCATTTTTGTTGTTGTGGTGTTCTATGGTGCAAAAGAACTGTATGCAGCAATGGATACCGGAAACATTTTGAAAAAGTAAATGTTTTTCTTTGTTTCTGTAATCCTGACATTAGATAAATCATCACCCAAAATGAGTAAGTAAGGTAAGTGCTTGCTTGGTTAAGGTGGAATATCCAAATATGAAATGCCATGGAAAGGACATTCTCTATACAGGGATAGGGATATAGAGGGGTATAGAGGGGTAGGGCAGAGAAGAGCTGGAGTATGCTTTTCTTTGTTAGTTTCCCCCAATTTATACACCATGGACTCGAAGTCCCGTTTAGTTGGGAGGTACCGCAGCAAGGCCCGAATCCCCTCCGGTACATCCGCTGGTAATTCATCCGCCAGTTCAGCTCCATCATCATGGGGGTCTGGATCGGGTGGTTCCAGTGAGTCAGAGCCATGCCGGGAGGCATCCGGGGAAGGAGATCCCCGCCAGCGAGTGCTGTGTGCCGGGACACGCGCAGATGTGGAAGATGCCGTCCGAGGCCTACCTCGATCCATGGGGGCAGCGCTCCTCGGGGAGAAAAACTGCTGTAACGAAGCGTCGGAGACCTGCGAGTTGGATCCGCCAGCCTTCCTGCGGGTCGACATAGCGCGATCCGGGGTATTGGTGGGGTAAAGTCTATAGTAAGAGTGCAGATGGTACTCTGAAGCCGCGGAGCTCCTCAGATCGAGCACCTCACGCCGCCATGTTTAGGACACGCCCCCTTCCCCCAATTTATATCTCTCATTTCTATACAGAGATAGGCAAAATGTAAACAGTCTACGTGTCCAACATCTCACTTTAAATGACTGCAATATATGTTGCCTGGATCGCCATGTCAAGCAGTAAGACACAACACTCAAACAAACAAGGGTATATCCTAAAGGTTTCTTATGGGTAGAAGACTCAACTCACAATTTCATTGGCTTCCGTCTCCTTCCTGAGTGGAGGCTCAAACTGCAGTTTGTCAACTGAAAAGAAAACAACAACAGAGCATTAGCTACACAGACAAGAGAAACCCATCTCCAAATGGTCACTGCGATAGTCCTATGTAACTGATGAGGCCACTGCGATATTTCTATGTAACTGATGAGGCCACTGCGATATTCCTATGAAACTGATGAGGCCACTGCGGCATTCCTATGTAACTGATGAGGCCACTGCGGCATTCCTATGTAACTGATGAGGCCACTGCGATATTCCTATGAAACTGATGAGGCCACTGCGGCATTCCTATGTAACTGATGAGGCCACTGCGGCATTCCTATGTAACTGATGAGGCCACTGTGATATTCCTATGTAACTGATGAGGCCACTGCAGCATTCCTATGTAACTGATAAGGTCACTGATGTATTCCTTTGTTACTAATGAGGTCACTGCAGTATTCCTATGTTAATGATGAGGTTACTGCAGTATCACTATGTAAATGATGATTTCACTGCGGTATTACTATGTAACAGATGAGGTCACTGCAGTATTACTATGTAACTGATGAGGTCACTGCGGTATCACTATGTAACTGATGAGGTAATTGCGGTATTCCTATGTAAATGATGAGGTTATTGCGGTATTCCTATGTAAATGATGAGGTTACTGCGGTATTACTATGTAACCGATGAGGTCACTGCGGTATTACTATGCAACCGATGAGGTCACTGCGGTATTACTATGTAACTGATGAGGTCACTGCAGTCTTACTATGTAACTGATGAGGTCACTGCGGTATTACTATGTAACTGATGAGGTCACTGCTATATCAATATGTAACAGACTAGTACAGGAAGACATTTAAACAGGTGTTGGTCTTGTACTGTATGCATCCCCTAACAATGAACTTCTCCTATTTGCTCCCTTTTGATCTAATAAATATACCACTGAAAGTGTTTTGTTATGTTTGTAAACAAGTTAAAATAAAATATCCGTTGACCCAGACGGAAATCTAGTAACTGAAAACTTCCTGTGCTCTCTGCCTGTTTTTGAATGACATTGTTTTCTAAAAACGACACCCCTCTATGCTATGGACAATAGAAGATGGGCGGGATTCCTTAGTCCCATCTCATTCCTGTTGTCCTGACACAGAAGGCGAGTGAACGTTGTCACCCTACCACTGGAACTGTGTTATTGGCAGAAAAAATGGGGGTGAATAGAAAGGGAAAGAAGGATAAAAAAAAGAAAAAGCAAACGAATGCAGCCACTACGTCTAAGGACTGGTAGGATACAATATATATATGCCATTCCCCCATTGTTCCGCGATTTAACAGTACCTGTTCTAGGCTGCTGTTGGCTCTCTATTCCCCACTCTCCAGCTTTGCCTAGATAGACAACTCCGACTTCTAAAATAGATTTTTACAGAGTAGTTTGGATACAATGACATCATGTATCAGAGCAGATACAATGACATCATCCCTCCTTTTCTGGTAGGCTGGTAGAGCTGCGAGGAGGGAGAAGGACCAATAATTGTAACATCCTCTATAAACCGGTACTGCTAGACTGGATAGCAGCAAGGACAGAATGGGTCACTTTACATAGTTACATAGTATTTGAGGTTGAATAAAGACATTAGCCCATCAAGTCCAACCTATTAGGATCTCATTCTAGGAGTACCTGTACCCCTGTATATTACGGTCCCTTAACCTCTTGCCGTCCGCCCGTAGTAAAAAAACGGACGGACGGCACTGCAGCATCTGCGGGTTGCGCCCGGTCAGCGCTTCCGGTTTCCCCCCCCGACCCCTCACCTTGATTCCCGGGATCCGCTGCCCCATCTTGGATCCCGGGACCGGCTCCGAGGGCGTCAAGAGGAGGAGGACGGGAGATCAGCTCATTGCTGATCCCCGTCCGGGCTGTGAATGCAGAAGTGATGTGTGTTACATCACTTCCGCATTCACCTGTCAGTCATCTGGAGAGAGAAGAAGCTGATAAAGCAGATCTCTGCTTTATCAGCTTCTTTTGGGGTCCATAGGTGATATTAGGGGTCCTAGAGACCCCTAATATCTCCATAGAGAGGACCTGTCAGTGTGCCTTTGCTATTATATAGGGGGTTGTTATCCCCCTATATAATAGCAATAACAATAAGTGCAAAAAAAAAAATATAAATAAAAAAAAAGAAAAGTAACACATAAAAAAGTAAAATAAAATAAAAGCCACATATAAAAAAAGGGGAAAAAACCCCCCCAAAATGTTTAACTCCCCCACCCCCACGTTTACGCGCCTATAAACGTAAATACGCGTCCGGTGCCCCAGCGCGCAAAAATTACAATTGCGCTACACATGTTACATATCGCCGAGAACGTCGCAGTGAGAGCAATCATTTTAGGGCCATCAATCACTGATAACACTAAACTGATGAGCGGTAACAGCTTTTAAAGCGTCGCCTAGGGCCAATTTTGGGTATTATCGTTTTTTGAGGTTTCGCGCGCGCACGCAATTTTAAGGCTTGACATGTTTAGTGTCTTTTTACCCGACGTGACCCCATCTTTTATATTTTACCAAAAAATTGGGTAATAATAAATGTTTTATCATTTAATATAGGGGAAACTGTTTTTTTAAAAAAAATTTTGGTAATTTTTCCTTAATATAGTAAAAAAATAAAACCCCAGTGGTGAATAAATACCACCAAAAGAAAGCTCTATCTGTCCCCAAAAAAGGGTATAAAATTCATTTCAGTACAGCGCTGCATGACGGAATAAATGTCAGTTAAAGTACCGCAGCGCTGAATACTGAAAAATGGCCTGGATGGGAAGGGGGTTTAACACCGCGGATGTCAACTGGTTAAGAAATCGTCCAAAAGTTTCTTGAACCATTCCACATTGTTTGCTGAAATCACTGCCTGCAGGCGGCAGTGAGTTCCAGACCCTAACTGATCTTACTGTAAAGAACCCCCTTCGCCCCTTGTGCTGGAATTTTTTTTCCACCAATTTTAGGTGGCAGCCTCTAGTTTTTGCAATGGAATTAATTTTAAACAGTTTATCGCTAATGTTGCTGCCACCATTGAACATTTTGTACATGGAGATCATATCCCCCCTTAATCTCCTCACCTCCAATGTGAACATGAACTTTAAAAAAAGAACAATACAAAAGTTGAAGACTGTTTTGCAGCAAGGAAACAAAAGTACAACAAACGCTTGTACCTGGATTTGCACAGCGTTGGCAAAGTTGAAGCGTGTTGGCTGTTTACTTGTTTAAAGTAATCCCTAAACTGACCAGATTTGATCTGCTTTCATACTGGAATCTAGAGGAAGTGCGGAAGGTGAACGAGGACACTTCTGACAATAGGACACAAAGGAAGCTGTGTATATAAGAAGCATCCAGTGACAGCTGTAGCTGTGTTTAGTTCCTGTTTCTGGGGGAATTACAGCAAATGTGAATTACAGGACTTCAAATATCACAGCCCAGAATCTAACACAATGGCAGCAGACAAAAAACTGCACAGGAAGTATTATATAAAAAAAAGCTTCTGTTCGGCTTTTGTAATTAGGACATAAGAGGACTCTTGTTAGTTTTCCAATGCTTCGGAGAACCACCAACAGAAGACAAAACAAACCGCTCAGCAAGGGAACCTGTCATTAGGAAATGACAAAGAACCACAAGTACCAGTTAAGCTCGTAATACACCAGCAGAATTTTGTTTGAACAAAATATGTTTTTCAGATGAAAATAATCCAAGGAGCAAAGCGGAAATGTTTTCTTGGAACAAACGAAATTCTAACAGGGGACGTGGTTTTCGTTTGGGGAAGCTCCATTAATTCAAAAAATCCAATGTCCCCATCAAATGACATTGGTCAGGTCTCTGATGGCATGAGCAAATGCTTTGATGAGATTTTTCAAATGAACGTTAGCATGAAAATCTACTAGCCATGCAAAGCTTTACTCCCAATATAATTGTTCCTGCAGAGAACCATGGAAGAGCCAAACGTGGACACTCAAATTTGCAGCATGTCCACCACACCATCCCATAATGCAATGCAGGCACCTACACGACATCCATCCATCCCACAATGCAATGCAGGCACCTACATGACATACATCCCATAATGCAATGCAGACACCTACATGACATACATCCCATAATGCAATGCAGACACCTACATGACATACATACATCCTCAGTGCTATAGCAGGCAGCTAGAGACCACCTCAGTTCCATGGCAGGCAGCTAGAGACCACCTCAGTTCCATGGCAGGCAGCTAGAGACCACCACAGTTCCATGGCAGGAAGCTAGAGACCACCACAGTTCTGATGCAGGAAGCTAGAGACCACCACAGTTCTTAGGCAACCGGAGACCACCACAGTTCTTAGGCAACCGGAGACCACAACAGTTCTTAGGCAACCAGAGATCACCACAGTTCTTAGGCAACCAGAGACCACCACAGTTC